CCCAAAGGCTTCAAGTCTGCTGCCAAACATCCCGGTTGGATTGCTACCATGGATGAAGAAATTTAGGCCCTTCATAAGAATCATACATGGGATCTTGTACCTAAACCACCCAACAAAAATGTTGTGGGCTCCAAATGGGTTTTCCGCATCAAATTTCTATCTGATGGCATTGTGGATCGTCTTAAGGCTCATCTTGTTGCAAAGGGCTACACACAACAACTGGGCCTCGACTTCACTGATACTTTAGTCCTGTTGTTAAGGCTTCCATAGTCCAAGTTGTTTTATCCCTGGCCGTCTCTAATAATTGGCCTTTACGGCAACTTGATGTCAAAAATGCATTTCGTAATGGTCTTTTGCAGGAAGAGGTTTATATGGATCAACCGTCTGGATATGTTGATCTTAAATATCCTACACATATTTGTCAGCTTCGTCGGGTTCTCTATGGTCTCAAGCAAGCTCCACGTGCTTAGTCCCATCACTTTAGCTCTTTTCTCTTGGCTATTGGCTTCATTTGTAGTCGTGCTGACTCATCTTTATTTGTTCTCTCCAAGGGTGCTGACTTTATCTATTTATTACTCTATGTTGACGACATTGTCGTGACTGGCAGCAATTCGGCACTCCTCGATGGATTTATTGGCAAGTTGACTCATGAATTTGCCACCAAGGACCTTGGATCTTTGAACTATTTTTTGGGCTTGGAAGCTTAGCGCACGTCTACTGGTATTTTTCTTAGCCAAGCCAAGTACGCCCATGAGATCTTACAGCGTGCATAGTTAGTTGACTCCAAACCGGTGGGTACTCCCATGGTGGTTGCTCAGACCTTTCCAAAATTGGCCCAGATTTTGATGATCCATCCCTCTACCGATCGCTCGTAGGTGCCCTTCAACATCTCAAATCACTCGTCCAGATATTGCTCATGCTGTAAGTGCCGTTAGTCAGTTCATGCATAAGCCGTCTATTTTTCATTTTTAGGTTGTTAAAAGAATACTACGCTACATTAAGGGGACTCTTCGATTTGGTTTATCTTTCGCTCCATCTTCTTCTAGAGAACTCATTACTTATTTAGATGTCGATTGGGCTGGGTGTCCCGATACGCGTCACTCAATTTCTGGTTATGCTGTTTATTTTGGTGGTAATCTGGTGTCCTGGAGTTCCAAGAAGCAACCAACGGTTTCCCTGTCCAGCTATGAATCTGAATATCGAGCATTGGCCCTCACTGCCGCTGAGGTTAAGTGGTTGCGGCTTCTTCTTCGGGATCTTCATGTGTCTTCTCCATCTCCTCAGGTCATGCTTTGTGATAATCAAAACTCCATTTTTCTCGCTGTCAATCTAGTCTCTCATAAGCGTTCTAAGCATATTGATTTGGATTATCATTTTGTGAGAGAATTGGTGGCCTCCGAAGAACTCAAGATTCGTTATGTCCCCACACACTCACAAATTGCCGACATGTTCACCAAAAGTCTCGGCCGACCTACCTTCATATTTTTACGTTCTTTTTTTTCGCATCTCTAATTCCAAGACACTAGGCTTGCGGGGGGTATTATGGATACAGAAGAATCCACAAGATCCTCCTCAAATCATGCTGTATCTTTTATCAAAACCCAATCCCATGATTCTAGGCAATCTCTTGATTATAGACAATAGCTATAGATGGAAATGTTGACTTTGTACGAAAATTATCTTGCTGTAATTTTGCTCTGTATATTCTATAAATGAGACATGCACCATCTGACAACTTTAAGGTGGTTTTTCAAACCTTGTCAATTCCTATTGTCAGAAACCTTGCAATTACTGAAACAGACAATCCAACTACCAGCCAAACTAAGTTAGAACACAAACCCACTAAGCGGCCAAGAAAATGTCCCATAATCCTGGGTAAAAACTCCCAAAAACCTGCAATGTCAAAGGCAAAGATAACTCCTAAAAAGGAAATAGCGGGTACATAAGTTAAGCATCCAGTATCCACGTAGCCTCATCTGCCCGACCATAAGGAAAGGAAACACCCTCCTAATAGGCCTACAAACACCAACAAATTCTTACAAATGACCTCCCAAAACACTCCAGAAAAAAGCCATGGGCATAAAAGGTACGCAGCAAGCAAGAAAACTGATAGGGAGCAAGTGTAGCTAAGACATTCTACAAGCCTCCATAAAAGTAGTAGCAAAAAGGGATAGAACCCCCCATCTGAGAATTTACAAAAGCAGCAGGGAGATGGAAAATAAGGAACCTACACACTAACAATAATGCTATTAAAATCTAAACACCCAGTAACCGCAGAGGGGGAGCTTGTAATCACGGGTGTTAGCAAGACACGTCCCTCATGGAAAAGAGAGGAATTAGAAATAGAATACCTGCACAGGTGTTAAGAGATCACAAAGCGGAAAACATACATTCGAGATAAATAATATAAGATTAAAATTGTACTACACAAAGAGGCACGATATTTACGTGGTTCGGCATAATCTGCATACATCCATGGATGAGAGAAATCCATTGTAGTTTTATGAACATGATATACAATAATACATAACACCATAAACCTGGTACATAAAACAAAGCGGAAACAATCCTTGTTTCTAACCACGCTTAACTCAGTAGCTAGAGTGGAAACAATCTTAGTTTCTAATAAACTCCCCATGGTGTTTAATAACCCTTATGTTAAATTTCTTGTATTCTCACATTCTCTCATTCTCTCATAACCTTGAATTAGTTCTCACCCCTGTATTTATAAGTATCAGATGTGATATTCTTTTCCTAATAGGATTTATATTTCAATTCCTATTAGGACTCCTAAAATTCTATTCCTATTTACTATTGTATTTTTTATTAAATAGGTTTCTTAAAGATATACAATTTCACATTGGAAGAAATACAAAAGCGAGCCACAATATCTCAACAAAAAGGACCATAGCAACAGCAACAGAAAAACTAGTTTCCTTTGGGAGCCAACTCCCATCTCAAGACCTGTCTTCAATGTAGGCTGCTAGCCTGCCCTATAAGGGTCTTTGGAACCCTTCCAAACACATAGGAACCAACCGCTAATGAAGACATACAAGAAGAAAACAGATTAGTTACCAGACTTGATACAGCTCAGCAGAAATATTAGTTACCAAATATTAAACTTGCTATGATGGAACTTGAGAAATTCGCAAGCAACATTTATCACACATGAAAAGATCAGTACACAATCTTATTTGGAGCCATCAGCCAAATAGTATAATAGATACAGTAAAACAAACCCATATTGTTAAAACAAACCCATAACCACACACACATTATGTTCATGATTCAGTTTTCGGTTACTTGTGTGACATAAATCGGCTCTCACAACGGAGGACTGCAGGCAACGCTGAGGAAAAAAAAAAAAAAAAATTGGGGGCGGCATCCCAACACCAGCTTTATTTCCTTCTGGAAAATGCACCAACATGCCCAATAGAACCTAAAAGATCCGCACAAAAGTGAAACAAGCATAATTTCAGATTCATCGAGCGCTAAATTTTTTTCCGAGGCCTTGATAATCAAAATGAAAATTTGTCATGTACACAAACAGAAATAATAACCATTTAACACCAAGGAGAGTAGAAAAGTCTAAACTGTTCTGAAACTGTTCTTTGGTAATAAACATGGATTACCAATCAAATACAAGAACTATCTGATCAGTAAGCAGTTATTAAATAAATCCAATTAACATGTCATAGACCTTCCAAACTGAACTAAATAAATATCAAACAAGTATGTTACAATAGTAAAGCTCAATAACCAACATGATCATTAAAATGTGTAACCGAATGTAAAAGAATATATTTGATCTTTGTGAAAGTTGAAGATGTAACCAATTTAATAAATGTGTGATCATTGTGGCATTCAAAGACAATAAAATAATTTGGAACAAACATTCTCGGCAAACTACCAAAACTCATTCACGTCTCTTTTCTAAGTCCAATTATGCATCTATATAGACAAGCATACTTCAGTACTTAAGGTCTAGTCAGAATTACACATATAAATTAAACATACTAGAAATTCGGAGAATAGACTTGGTTTTTTCCTTAGTACGTGGCACTGGATAGTATGAGATGATATGGTATAGTCTTGTCTCATGTTATGCTTTCTGAGATTTCTCATTATGAAGCTTGTTATGATATATGCACATATGGTATGGTTTCTATCTAGCTCTTTCAAAAAATGATACACAAAAATCATTCAAAGGAATAGGCCATTTGGTCAGGCTTGTCCTAATTGGCTTTTCCCTCAATTCCAAATCCTTTCTCCCGGCCATTTCACAAATCAAGGTCAATTTCACACTTACACAAGATTGATGATTGATATTTATATAGATATCCTAGTGCAAACAAGTTATATATGAAGATCAAGAAGAAACAAACAAAAGTAATTATAACACAAGAACCATAATCAGATGTTTAATCAAGATAAAGTTATTGTCAGTCATGTACATCTAAATCATGATTGCAATGAAATAAAAACATGTAGATAACGAATTGCCACAAAGATCAAGTTATTGTAGACATATGTAGTACATCATAATAAGGGAAGAAAGTAAAGAAAACAAACAAAAGATGTAGCATGCTGGATACCTCGTTCAAAGGAAAAACAATTAGGATATTGCAGAAGATCATATATTCCTTATTTATAATATCCTAAAATGGTGTAAACTGTCTGTGCAACAGTCGAAGCAAGTGCTATTATCGCAGCAAGGAAAGCAATCGCACTCCAGGGGCTTCGGAAATATTCGTGAATAAATTGAGCCATCGAAGTCATTAATTTGTTGTCGTAGCGTCTTTGGATTTTACTTTTGACATCTCGATATATATTACGATTTGACACTAAGTCTGTGCCTATCTCATTAAAGAGTTTAGCCGCTTCTTCATGACTACCCAGAAAATTGTGGAGTATTTGCTTATCTCGCAACTCTTTAACATCTTGGGCTTGGTCAATTAGCATATCGAGAAATGCTACATAAGAGGAGACCCAAAAGTCATTTAGAAAATTTGGACACATTCGTAAGCGATCAAGTTCAAGAACATGGATGCAGTCGAGTCGTCCACTTGAATAGAAGGAAGCCTCAAAGTTCCAAGATTAAAAGTAATGTCTCTCAAACAACCCGTGCCACTAGGCCTCAACCGAATCCCTGCTGCTTTAAGCTCCTCAACACTACGGAAAAACTGCAAATCATGTACTTGTGTACATGAACAACAATTCTCAATTGGCTTAACAATGCACTCCATCAAGTTCTTAACTTTTTCAAGCGGCTCAGTTATGTATTCGAAAAATTTCTTAATTAGTTGTCGAACTATGGCGCATGACATTTGGTTTTCCTTATCATCAAATTGGAGTAGTCCTGTTCGCAAAAGGTCCAGAAGATGTATTGGATTTTCTTTTTGCAACAACTTATGTTCCAATTGCCCATGCTTCTCTCTTGGGGCCTTGATGATACCAAAGATGAACTTCTCAATTGATATTATCATTGGCGTTCGGTTACCCATGCAGTTTATTATTAATTTGAGGACTCTATAAGGAAGTTGGTTCTCCAATAAGAACAGATCTTGCCGTACATATACCAAGTAGTCAATTTTAATACCTTTTTCTTTGAACTCCTCAATCATGGTATCTTCCTCATCAGTCACAGTAAAATCTAAATAATGAAGTAGTGCACATCCATCCACAAAAAGCATCCATTGTTAGGAAACGATCCGGCTGCACAGTGGAAAACAAAAATTTTTTCGACCATGGATCATTCCTTAAAACCCAAAATCAGGGCACAGAAATTACAGTTTATATTTTACAAGAATCTGTAGAAAAAATAAATCTAAAGTTTAGATTCATACCCACGTTGGAGGCTCCATCAATATTGTCTCTGAACGTGTTTGCTACCGATCCAAGTGTAGGATCGAACGCACGAAGTCCACACGAAGACAATCACGAGGAACCAAGGAGGGATTTGCTAGATCCTCATTGGCCTTAAGAAATCAAGAAGAAAACAAGAACGTGTTTGATATTGGCACCAACCAAAACTGGCGTGGGAGAGTGTTTTGTGTTGTGTGTTTTTCTTTTTTAATCAAAAGGCAATCATATCAAAATCACACACACACTTTTCTTTTATAGGCAAACTAAGTTGCCCTATTCCCATATGGAATAGGCGTGGGCTTCAACCCAAACACCCCATGTTACCAAACACTCCCAATTAGATATTTTATTTATTTCATCATTATCTCAATTAAAATCAATTCCTCAATTAAAATCAATTATTAATATTTAATTAATAATATATTTAAATATGTGCGAACACACATTTAAACGTAATTTCACTTATTTAATTTTTCTAACAAATTAAATAAAGGCTATGACCTCAGCAAATTTAATTGCATAGTAAAATTACCAAAATACCCTTTCGCCTAAAAAGACGAAAACACCCTTCTTTCTTCTTGGCTCTTAAATTATCTTCTATGTGTGTGACCCATAGGCTCCTCATCATACCGGCAGTATATAGTATCGCGATTAACACCAATTAATCGTCTCACTAATACACAGACTAAGATTGACCCCTAGCAAGGCATCATGGCCACCCGATAGATTTGGATTCAACAAAGTAACTACCTGTCAACGATATGGTTACCGTGCAATTCGATCCTTTCATCATACGTTATCTCGACGAGACGAAGGCATAGAAATAGTGTCAACCTTCGGTTACTCTCGATATTATGTAGTCAGTTTCTAGATCAATGACCCCTATTATAAACTGGATAGAGCAACAACTCAATCCCATTGTGGCCACAGTTTTAGTGTCATTGTCATATACTAAATTACGCCATGAGATAATTTCTCCCGTACTTGGGAGTAATGAACCCTCTATCGATCCACCATAGTCTTGATACACTCCTCGATGCAGCCAATCACCACCGTATTGACAACTCTGAATAGAACTACGTTAGGCTAGTGTCAAACTACACCAATCGGTGCACAAGATGCTCTGGTGATCTCAAGTCTAAGGATCACATGCACCACCATTCGTTAGAGGATTTGTTCCATAGACACTAGGGTTACCATCTATATGGAATCCTCTGGTGGGTCAGTCCAGTGAACTTGCTGCGGTGTAATTGCCTACAGCAAGCACCCATGTGTTGCACCAGGTTGTCATCAAACAACCTTGACAAGTGAGATCTGTCACTGCCTTTCAACAGGGTCGTTTAACACTATGATAGTCTTACCGTATTATATGTGCCCTTACTTCAGAATAATACTAGGGCTACGGACATTTCTAGAATGGCCACCATATGTGCTCATAGGGTTCTCACTATCAAGATTTGAAACACTTGATACCCTCATCACGGTTCTACCATTCTAAGGACATATATCAATACATATTGCAATAATAATGGTTTACGCGATATAAAATAAAATGTCTTTTATTGATTAATGAATTATTACAAAGAGTCAATTCTACAATAATTGATTGGCTCTAGGGCACCTACTCTAACATCCATGCAAGTTAATTATCATCTGGGAATGGTGCGGTTGCATCCTCCTCATAGCACTCCCTCAGATCTTTGATCTCTCTCTTAACTTTGGAATATAATACTTCTTTATTTAGAGTATGCTTTTTGATGAATAGAGAAGCAAATTTGAGTTTTAACTTTTCTGTGTTCTTCAAATTTGGATTATTATGATGGTAAGGACCGATTGATATCATCCTTGGCTCATAGTGCTTGGTAAAATTTTTGTTGTCACGCAAGATAGATGGAACTTTTTGTATCTTTTGAGGACAATTCACTTGCACTATGGCATCATCCAAAGATTTGAACTTCTCCACAACACTATCAGTAATGAGTGACTTGACTTCGTCCTCAGTGATGTTGATTACATAGCTAAGATCCTCACTGTCTTTACTTCTTTGAGGTGTTCGTTCCCGCAATCAACGACCAGGTGGAAACATTGGAATGAAAGAGGGTTGTTCCTAAAATGAATATTATAAATTAGGCTTAATATTGAAGACAATGGTATTGATATAGTAATTTGATCCATTTTTCTAAATAAAGAAATATTGAGCCAAACATAAATGAGTAGCAAAACTCTTTATTTATAGAAAAGAGAAAGTTAATATGTGTGATGATGTGGCTTCTCATTTGCCATGGTGGAAGTCAACCTTTTATTTGTTTGGAGTCAAACATGTGGTGTGACGCCATTTTGGCTAAACCTAATTACTTATAATTGCATTTGTTCAACTATCACACTTTTCATCAACCTCCACTTCTGTAATAGCCGCCTTCTACTCAAATACTCATAAAACATGTACATAATCAAATACATATAAAGTAGTATAAAAAGTTGGGCCAAAATTTTTCTTTTATTAAACATATACATTCTTTATACAGAAAGTAATATTGTGTACAAAAACATCAAAACCAGGTGGACAGTGTACCCTTTTCCCTTCGCTTGTCGATGCCCATCCGACTATGTCCTCACCTAGAACCTGCAAAAACATGGAAAACCACGGAGTGAGCACAACTAATGCTCAGTAAATAAATCCGCTACTCATCTATCCCCGTAATTCTCTCTCTCTCTCTCTAATTCTTTCCTTACAATTCTCGCTTATTCTCTCTCTATACTTCTCTCTATTTTCTCTTTCTCATAACTCTTTTCTACTAACTCTCTCTTAGTAGTCACGACCTCATCTTACCGGAGGCACGGCCGGACTCGCTCCCTCTACATGACTTCTCCTCCTCATTCTAGCCGATCGGACTCGGTTATGCATGGATTTGGAACCCTTGGCCATATGAGTGTATAAACTCTCTCTCTCGGGTACTCTCAGGTATAGCCCTCATCCGCATGCACTTTCACAGCTACACCACTTCTCTCTCTCATACTCATGCCGCTCCTCAATGCGGTGTACATGCGGGAATACTCTACCCATTACTCACGTTCCCCATCGCACAACCTACTCTATTCTCTTTCTCTCTTTTTTCTCTAATTCTCTCATTTTCTTTACTATTAGAGTTGCTTATTCTCAACATTCCTACTCTTTCTCCAATGCTTATTTTAGTGTCACTTATACTCAAACTCTACTCTCTCTCAAGCTGTACGCCCCGCTTGAGGTACGTTGTTATGTTTCCTCTTTCGCCCTCATTTGAGTTGTTTTTGGTAACATTGTTTGATTGTCATTGGTATGAGTGTGTGTTGATTAATTGCCTTGAATGGGTTAAAAATAGAGAAGTGTAGTATGCCGAGCTTCGCCGGGCGAAGAAGAATCTTCGCCGCGGCGAAGATGTGTTGAAACCACCGGAAACCTCTGGACAGTTTCCCGCGGCGACAGAAGTTTCTTCGCCGCGGCGACGGGCCGATTTTCATGTTGGTTGAGTTTTAGATATTCTTCCCTAAGGGCAATTTGACCATTCTCCCCCTATTAGCAGGAAAAGTGGGGAGTTAATTGTAAGGATTTTTCATGAGAATATGTTGTTATGGGGGGGAGTTTGTAATGAATCAAAGGATATAGATGGAATTCCCAAAGAAGAGTAAGGGCAAAATGGGAATGCTTTGTTATATATTTCATTAAAGGAATTAGAATCAGAAAAACCCCTCATTTTCTTCTTCTCAAACGCACTTTCCCCTCTTTACTCCTCTCAACTTCTCTTCTCTTTTGATCAGGATTTCAAGGGGTTTTTGAAGTGATTAAGGGTGGAAAATCAACCTAAGGTCCCCTAAGGTAAGAATCTCTACTTAAGTTGTGTGATTTGGGAGTTTTAACCCATATTGAAGTTTGAGGGTTCATTCTTTTGGTTAAGATTAGAGGGAAGTCAAGCTAAACAAGTGAAAGGAAGAATTTGTGAAGTCTCTCCATAACAGGTAAGTAAAACCCAACCCAAATTGAGATTCATGAAATTTCTTGATTAGGTTTTTGATAGAAATGATGTATGTATGTGATGTACATGTAATATGCCATGTTGGATTATTAAATGGATTTCTATGCTTTATGAATGTTAATACCTTGTAAATATGAGAAATGGGTTGTTGGGTTGACAAGGTAGTTGAGATGGATTTGAAGGGTGTTATGAACCTTTTTAGAAGTGTTTTGTTTGACAGTTTTTTTAGGGCTTTGTGAGGGTTTTTCCCCATTTGGATGGTTAGGAAAGTTTTAGAATCATGGCTATGATAGAGCTTTATAGTGCACATGAGTTGTTTGATGAAATGCCTAATAGAGGTTTGAGTGTGAGTATGAACCTTAATTCTTGCAGCATTGCATGTTGGCATCTCATAAGTGCTTGGTGAAGTTGAACCATCCATAGGCACTAGTTTACATGGAAAGTGACCTAAGAAAGTGTAAGAGAATTGTGTATGAATTACCCTATGGTAGAGACTTGGTGGGTATAACTACTCTAAGGGTAGAAGCATTGAAAAATGCTACATGGAGTGAATTAGAAGAGTAGTATAGTTGGGATGATGCTTGTGATCATCACCCGACCATTATGGGAATCGGATTGATGCTTTGTGATCATCACCCAATAGCCTTAGAATGGTTGATGCTTTGTGATCGTCACCCAATTAATAGAAATGGGGTAGATGCTTTGTGATCACTACCCAATTAGTTATTAGATAAGTAGGTTGAGCTTTGTGATCATCATCCAACAGTTAGTAGAAACGGGTTGATGCTTTGTGCATCACCCGACAGTGACTAGAGACG